CCTAAACAAATGAACAAGTGAGCTTGTCATTTACCTTATGAGATGCAAACGACTTACACAAACCCAACTTTCTACTACTATTTGATATGATATGATAGCGTAAATTATTTTTTGCCTTTTTGGAATTCTACCAAAGTGAATAAAATAGCAGTATAAATCATCCGAAAACTACATTTCCACAACGCCAAATAAAGCCACAACCACTACTACAGTAACATGCTTAAATAAAATTCTTTCCAAACTTGCCTGAGTTGTTTATTATGCAACAACATTAAGTCAAAACTGCCTCAATGGAGCGTACACCAAATCAGGTATAGCCAGTTGATCTGTAGTCTGAGAGTTAGCAGTCAAACTCTGAAACTTAACCAGGCGCAGCGTGTGATTGACCTACATAACCATTCCTCCATCGATGGTGAGCACCTGTGCAAAAACAGTATCAAACTGAGCAACCAAGGGCATGAAGTAGGGAGATGATAAAATAACTGACAAAAGAGGGTTTGCCAATGGCATGGCTATGGCAAGGCAGTTTGAATGGAATGGAGAAATTTCAAGACAAGGCGATGCAAAGAACTATTAAAAATAAAGGTGCAATTTACAGTATATAAGACATTATAACAAAATAAATTCCATACCTGTCCAGTCATGTAACCGGCAGCAGGGTTGAGAGCCAAGAATTCCACCAGTCCAGCAACTTCATCTGGTTGGCCATATCTTCCTGAATGCAGAATAAATTCATCATGATTACAAGCACTCTTGTGTTTCTTTTGCTCAACATATTTTTCTAATTTTGTTAACATTCTGTTCAACTTAACAAATCTTGATTGAATCGGTAAAAACAAGGAAATGGAATTGAGAGGGTTCGCCATAAGAACTACAGAAATGTATTTTACATGGATACTTCCAACAACCAGCAAAATTGGTGCCTTCCAATAAATTTCAAGATTGACATCCTCCACCCATGATGAATGATGAAGGTTATAAAGTATAATTAAGACAAGAAAACTTTAAATCCAGCAAAGACTCAATGCACAGTGTAAATTGCAATAAAAGGAATATAGGACCGTATACATACAAAGAATAAACAAGAAATTTAAAGAAAAAAAAAAATCTAACTTGTACAATCATTTCTCACCTAAGGGGATTGTCTCCAAGATCTTCTTCTCAATGTCCTCCCCAAGTTTGGCAGTCATATCAGATGCAATGAATCCTGGTGCAACAGCATTGACCTGGAAGAAAATAACCCAGTAAATCTCATAAATGGGTATCAGCTGCTGGAATGATTGGGATGTGTCTGATCAAGAAAACAAAATTAATAAGAACTCTACACTACTCACATTAATGTTTCTGCTTGCGTATTCCTTTGCAACTGTCTTTGTCAGGCCAATAACTCCTGCTTTTGCGGCACTGTAATTGGCTTGGCCAACATTGCCAACCAGACCAACAACTGATGCTATATTGATTATCCTTCCCTGCATAATCAGAATTTACTGAGATGAAAATTTATGGTAAAATCACAACTTATCCCCTACAACTACTCATTTAAGTTTTTCTTTATCTGTTATTCTTGAATTTGAACCTAAAATGAAATGCTTCAAGCCAGCATTCCATAGCTCAATTGGTTCATTTTGCGAGCACAAAGTTCCATCCCAGCTTAATGGAGGAGCAAATACATAAAAAACAAGAGGGGCAAGCCATATACCTTTCTCTTCTTCATCATGATTTTGGCTGCTGCCTGCAAAGGATAAACTGTCTCAGTTCCAATAAACTTAAGCACCCAGTAGATAATTAGTAAGACGTTATAAAGGCACACCTGTGTACAGAGGAATACACCAGTGAGATTCAGATCAATAACGTCCTGCCATTGTGATTTCTTCATTCTCATCAGCAAAGTATCCCTAGTGATTCCTGAAACCACAGTAAATAAGTTAAAAGGACTTGATTGAAACCTCTAACTAAGAAGGTACAAGGTAAGTGTTTCCAATAACCTGCATTGTTAATCAATATGTCAATGGTACCCCATGCATCAGTGGCCTGCAGTAGCAACAATTGTGAGCATACCATAATTGAAGATAGGCGTTAAAACAAACTCACCATGAAAAGAAAATATTCGCTTACAGTTTTGATCATTGATTCCACATCAGCTTCTTTTGAAACGTCCCCACCGAAAGTAAGAGCCTGACCACCAAATGCCTCAATCTACAAAAATTTTGTCACAAAAACTGTCACCAGTCATTTCAGTCAAGCAGGAAAATCTGACAAGACCATTATGCCAGAAGAACTTGAGAGAATAAGAACAAGTACAGGAAGCGAAACACCTTGAATAAGAAAATTAGTGAAATACCAATGCTTGGCCAATTTTATCTTCAAAATAGTAATAGTTACATATGAGAGATTTTACGTGTGAACTTATAATATCAATGACAACATCAAGAAAGATGAGAACTTGACAATTAAAACCCCAACAGTTCCAGAAATACAAAAGCAGACAAAATACATGGAACCAAACACAATCATTGCCAAATAATCAGCTATATTTTCTTTAAACACAAAAAAAAAAAGTAAATAAATAAATAAATCACCTCTTTGCAAACTTCTTCAGCTTCCTTTGATGACCTAGCATAATTTACCAGGACCTGTTTAAAGACCAAAAATAATGGATTCACTTTTCGCTGGATCATAAGGTAAATGAAAAAAGTATTTACATAATTCACTAGGAACTTCTTAACATAGTCATTGACAAGAATCATGCAGGACATGCTTCAAGATAGTGAATGAACGCCTCTACTCAAGACGCCAAGCTCCAACCGTCCTAGGTTAGTTGGTGCCTGGTGGTTGATTTATCATAAAGCATCCTACTTTTTGTTTATTATTGAGGGAACAAAACAAGGCATTTCTGCTAATGCCTGAGCATGAGGCATGAAATAGGCCTGCTTTAACTAACCATTCACTAACCTTACATCCTGCTTTCCCCAAGGACAATGCAATCGCTCTACCAATTCCTCTAGAGGCTCCAGTAACTACAGCTACAGGAGCTTCTACATTTTGAGTTGTTTGACCGCTCGCTTGTTCAATAGTCGCAACCTGAGCTCTTACTCCTGCTATAACAATTATAGCCAAATCAAATCAACATTGCAACAAATCAGTAATGGACTCGTAATTATACCTTTCTGAAGCCACTAATAGCTTATCCACAAACAGATATAAGAACAATAACACTTAAATCATGTTAAATGTATTCAAAAAGAACTTCTCACGTACTGAAAACTATCATAATTAGCTATATCTTGCAGTGACTACAAGATTACACACAATTAAACTCAAAATTAGAAATTCCAGATTAACATGTTTCGATCAAATTAAAATCAATCTCAAATATTGCTAAATTGAGTGCCAACTAGATCCGAAAATTAAAACTTATCACCACTTGTAAAACAAGAACCACAGTACCAGAAGAAATGAATGAGCGGCTGCTGCCACGTCTACACTGAAGCCCAACGCAAGGCCGAGACGGAGCCTGAACCGGAGACCATTGGCGAAACTGACCAAGTTTTTGCTCAGCGAATTTGGCAGAAATTGCGGCGGATTTGAAGGCAACAATGTTGGATCCAGCAACGGCAGCCATGAGAGGACCTTTGGAGACTCCTCGAAGCGATAGAATCGAAGCCAAGAGAGTAGCCAGAAATGAAGCTGAGGTGTTGGTTTTGGCGCTTTTATAAAGCAAAAACAAGGAAAATATATATTGTGTTCTCGCTTAGGAATCTCCGGAGACTGATAATGTGGCGATGGAAACGAAGTCCGTGTGACTTTTGTGTGTAGTTGGGACTTGGAGTTGGGAGTTTACTGTATTTGGTGGAAAGTGATTGAATTTGGGTCTGGTTTTTGAAATAATTACCATGCAGCAATTAAGTTTGATAGAGCGTTGGCTTCTTAAGTGGCAATATTGTAGTTTCAAGAATAATTAAGGAGTTTTACGGTATTTTAGTAATTATTGCATTCAAAATTAGTTGATCCTCAACCTAACACCCTGGCTCTATTTTTTCTTTTTTTTTTTCCAAATAATTTGGGAATTGGGTTTGGCCGAAACTCAAAATTAACTTCTTGTTTAATTAATTAATAAATAAATAATTAGTATTAAAGAGTAATGATATTGTTTATATACTGACTTATAAATTCTTGAATATCAAATTATTTTGAGATTTTTATGTAAAATCTTAATTTTTTATTTCCAAAAAAATCTCATTAAAATCCACCTCTAAATTAAGAAAGATAAAACAAACAAACAATATATAATTATCAGGATTTTGTTAAATGGGCATATGTGACAACATTTTATTTTATAACTCTAGATTTTATTTTATTTTTGTTATTGTAGTATAAAATTTATATGATCCATATGCAAAACAATAAATGTTGGTTTACAATTTAATCTTACAAACTTTCTCTTATAATCTCGATATAGCAACTCGTAATTGGTCAGTTCACAATTGAACAGGTGAGACACATTGTGAGCTGTCACGTCGGGGTTGTGAGATTGAATTGTAAGAGTAGTATTGCCTATATATGATACAGTAATATTACACTCACTAACTTTCTCTTACAAATACGACTGTTAACTTATAATTGGTTCATTCGTAATGGGTCTCACATGATCAAATGTAAATTAATCAATTACGAACTGTTATATCAATATTAGTGATATTTATTCTATAGGAAAATAATAACTGGAATTTATTACTCATCAATTAAAAATATGAAAATCAGTAACCAAATTAAACATAATAACTAATAAGTACTTCATTAGTTTCTATTAGTAACATAGAACCTAATTCTATCTCCTCCAATAATAACAACAAAAACTAATAATCTACTACTGTTTGAACANTTATATCAATATTAGTGATATTTATTCTATAGGAAAATAATAACTGGAATTTATTACTCATCAATTAAAAATATGAAAATCAGTAACCAAATTATTAAACATAATAACTAATAAGTCCTTCATTAGTTTCTATTAGTAACATAGAACCTAATTCTATCTCCTCCAATAATAACAACAAAAACTAATAATCTACTACTGTTTGAACATATAATGACTCCAAATCAATTCTGAGAAGAACATGACTTCGCGATGACAAAAGCAGGAGTCGCAGCAAGGAACAGCAGCGTCTTCTCCTTCCCATCTTCCTCCGTTCCAATTTTTTAAACAGTCGCAGCCCCTGGAACTGAAATCTTCTGCTTCAATATTGATTGTTATCATATTACGAGTCCACATCCAACGAAAATTCTCTCTTATTTTCATCCTAAACTCTCTTGTTCTGAACCTCTTCAAAGAACCTAGAAGCTTTAAGCCATGTTGCTTTAGCTCACCTCCTGAACATATGAGGATGATACTATAAACATAACTTGACTCAACGTGTCCTTTATCAGCAGCTCTCTTCAAACAATTCAATCCATGATCTGTTTTGGACGTACTGAAATATTCATACAAACCTAATATGTATAACCATTCTGGGTTTCCACTCTCTTCGCAACGTTTTAAGAACCTGGAGACTTGTTTGGTCATATTCCACCATGGAAATATGCCAAACTTGTCCATGGATGCCTTCTCAAAGATGAAATCATCGTCTGATGTTTGAAGAAGATATTTACAACTCAACTTGGCATTAATAAGATCGGTTAATGACTTTGAGGCAACAAGAGCAAGAACCGTAATAATCACCTCTTTCGGAAGAGATTCTATGGACGCGCCAACTTTCTTTCGACCTTTTGCTCTTTGCTTGAATGATTTACTTCTTCTTCCAACAGCCATTAATGAACCTGGAACCAAACTGAAGTTTGGATAAATATATAACACAGCACCGGTTCCACCGGAACCACTAACTTTTTAACGTGATAAATTGACGAGGTAATAGATTCACACTTGGAAAAGGAAATAACAATACGGTTCCTTTTAGGTTTTAGGGTTTATTTAATAATTGAAGCCATCAGGACTCGTGAGATTCATGCATGGCAGCATCTAATCCTTCTTTGACCCGGAGTTGAATTCTGAAATTGGAAAGTTTTTAATTACTACTCAAAGACCAAAATCCAACAACGTGATAAATATGTTCAATGCTTGTTTCAGGCTCCAAAGATTATTGCTCGATTTAATATCAAGCTCGACAGTATCGATAGGCAGGGGCGGATCCAGTCCACCCATGGCCCACCCTCAAATTTTTTTTTTTTTTTTTAAATACTAATATATATAATTTTTAGATTTTGATCCACCCTAACAAAAATATTAATATGTAATTAGTTTTTATTTTGGCCCACCCTAAAAAAAATTTATGGATCCGCTACTGCCAACAGGTCACCAGATGCATTGTCCTTGTATTTGCTGTGAGAGCTTACAATAAGAGTTCCATGGAAAAATTCTAACCCCAGTTTCATCATTTGAGGGAGTTTATATACAATGTTTGTATAGAGGAAAGAGCGAAAAATAAAGGAATTACAATAGATTTGAAATGTAACTCCGATATTCTTGTGATTGGACGCTGTGATTGGGCAGAGATTGCTGTTAATCTGATCATTCCCCCGTAATATCTGGGATTTGAAGTTATCTAAGAATCGATTGAATGATCATTCGGACTGTTCGCAATTAGCTTGTGCTAGGTCGAGCTATATGTCGACAAGCTTATACTGGGTCGGACAACCAGTAGAGTCGGACTGATCATGGGTCGACTTAATACCTCGTAACTCACCGAGTTTGATGGTAAAATCACACACAACACTAAGCTAAGAATTTTTTTTCAATGAAATGCAACTAAAATCCCAAAACATTAGAAAAATTAATTAGTATACTTATAAATTATTGTCTATAAATCTTGAATGAATATCAAATTATTTAGGCATTTTATGTAAAATATTAATTTTTATTAAATTAAGAAAGATAAAACAAACAATAAATATACAATTATCATGATTTTGTTAAATGGCAATCTGTGACAACATTTTATTTTATAACTCTAGATTTTATTTTATTCATTATAGTATAAACTTTATATGATACATATGCGAAAAATAATAGCTGGAATATGAAACTCAGTAACTAAATTATAATTAATAATTCGTTCATTAATTTCTATTAGTAACAAATTAAGGAATCAATATGGTTAGCCTAATTATGTCTCATCTAATGATAACAACAAAAACTAATAATCTACTACTGTTTGAACAAATAATAATGACTCCAAATCAATTCTGAGAAGAATATGACTTCGCGATGACAAAAGCATGAATCGCAACAAGGAACAGCAGCGTCCTCTCCTTCCCATCTTCCTCCGTTCCAATTTTTTAAACAGTCGCAGCCCCTGGAACTCAAATCTTCTGCTTCAATATTGATTGTTATCATATTACGAGTCCACATCCAACGGAAATTCTCTCTTATTTTCATCCTAAACTCTCTTGTTCTGAAACTCTTCAAAGAAGCTAAAAGCTTTAAGCCATGTTGCTTTTGCTTACCTCCTGAACACACGAGGATGATGCTATAAACATAACTTGACTCAACGTGTCCTTTATTAGCAGCTCTCTTCAAACAATTCAATCCATGATCTGTTTTGGACGTACTGAAATATTCATACAAACCTAATATGTATAACCATTCTAGGTTTCCACTCTCTTCGCAACGGTTTAAGAACTTGGAGACTTGTTTGGTCATATTCCACCATGGAAATATACTAAACATGTCTATGGATGCCTTCTCAAAGATGAAATCATCGTCTGATGTTTGAAGAAGATATTTACAACTCAACTTGGCATTAATAAGATCGGTTAATGACTTTGAGGCAACAAGAGCAAGAACCGTAGTCATCACCTCTTTCGGAAGAGATTCTATGGAAGTACCAACTTTCTTTCGACGTTTTGCTCTTTGCTTCAACGATTTACTTCTTCTTCCAAGAGCCATTGAATATGTAACCAAACTGTAACTTTGGATAAATATATATAGCACAGCCCCGATTCCACCGAAACCACTAACTTTTTAACGTAATAAATTGACGAGGTAAGCGATTCACACTAGGAAAAGGAAACAACAATACTATTCTTTCAAGGTTTGGGTTTATTTAAGGATTGAAGCCATCATGACTTGAGGGATTCATGAATAGCTTGTCGGCAGCCCTCTACTTCTTTGACCCGGCTTTGTATTCTGAAATTGAAAACGTTTTTATTACTAATCAGAGACTAAAATCTAACTTTGATTAAAAAGATGAATAATTTTAAGGGGATTTCTAAATAAAAGGTCGCATGGTGAATTTTTGTCCATTTACAAACACGAAAAAGACTTACGGTTCGAAAGTGATAATGATTTCGTCCATTGTTATAACAGAGAAAAAGAATATCATTCATTTTTATAGCAATCCAACGAGTGGTTAAACTAAATCATGTTGACCTTTTTACCAAAAGCAATTGGTTATTTTAAATAAATAAAAAATCTGTGTGGATTGCACAACATCAAATCTATATCAATGTTTTAAAATCCAAGTGAAACCCAGCAAAGTTGCCAGGTTCCAGGTTGACCGGTTTAACAGACAAACCGGTTAACAAAAACTTTTAAAATTCAGCAAATACACTTCTAAAAATTCGTTAAGTCTCTATAAGTTTAAAATTTAGCAAACACACCCCAAATACAAATCAACTGACGATTGATTGGCGGCGACGACGCCCCAGATGCAACCCTAATCGTCCTTTGAGCCCATTCCTCTTAAAATATACGTAAGATCTGGCCGAAATAGATTTGATTTCAGCCAGATCTCACTGATGCTGGCATCGACATTCTAGGGGATGAGCGCCAACGTCGACAACCCTCCTTATCACCCAGAAATTACTCCCCTCTTCCTCCCAACCAAAACCCACCCTACCCCACCCTTGTTAACCTCGCCAATCGTCGGCAAAAACCAGTTGTTATTGCTGCCAGTTTCGTTCGATTTACTCACCGGAAATCAACTCCATCATCATCATTGCATTCACCGACACTTTCTCTTCAAAAGCCCTAACATCCCAATCATCAATTGTTCGCCGATCATCCCCCCAAATCCTAGGGTTTTGGGTGAATAAGAAAAATATAAACCCGGCCCATTAAAGCTTTCGAGTCCCAATTGAACCGGTCAGGCCGGACCGGGTTTTAAAACATTGATCTATATATAAAAATATATATGAACTTATAAGAAGATGTCATCGTTTTCAATTGAGACAGAGATTCGGCGATTTACCATATATAGCAGAAAATGGGTAATAAAAAGTCACAAATATGTGATACAAACTCCTCAAAAAGGCTACTGAATACCGATCAGATGACAATCTGTTGTTTACATTGATGTAAAACAGCAAAAAGCTTGATGATTTAGAAAATTATAATTGCAAAACTCAAAAGCCTATCACCAAACTAAACACTTCTCTGCATCTGCGCTGGTTTTTTCGAATTATTTTTAGGACGAACCTTCACAAAAGCTTTTTCCAAATCCTGACAGAACAATCAAAAGATTAGAGTCTTCGTTTAAGAAACTGAATGTCACAAGCAATTTGCAGCAAGTCAATTTATGGCCAACAAAACCAACTTTAACTAGAGAAAAAAAGTAGCATTTGAATTCTAATCAGTAATTATAACCCTTTGATAAGTTATGAAGAACTTCGAAACTATTCCAGAAAGGAGATATCCCTATTCGTTATGTTGGCAGCAGAAAGTATTCCCCATAATGATCATTCTCCTCTCCCTCTCCCTCTCTCCAATCATTAGAAAATATTTCATTGCCATTGGACTAATGAGAGACACTAATACGGAGCTAGCATCTCTCCCTTCCCCCCTCACTTGGTACACCACTAGAATGATTTGGAAGTCACTGGGGAAAACCCAAAACGGAATCTTGCCTTGACAGCTTAGATCAAAGGAATATCATACAAATGCAATCTAGTATCTAATATTCATCATAAGTCAGCCTACCAAGATCAAACAAGAAATTAATGGTAAATTGGAGCTTGGTATGAGCTCCTTCATGAGTTCCCCACTGGAAGCATGCAAAAAAGAAATCGGTATGTTAAATTTATACATTTTATGGACCCGCACGCTACAGTCTGACCAGTTCTAGAAAAACAAACTATAAACGGAAATGATCCATGGTAAATCTCTACTTACCTGAACAGGTTCTGCTCTAGATGTCTCCATAGTCCAAAGATTTTCCAAATTGTAATAAGCTCTGGCCTTCTCATCAAGCGCATGAACAATCACTTTTCCTAACAAACAAGGATACCAGCCAACAATGTAAATTTGGTATACAAAGGCATATCAGTACCATGACCATTTGATATTAATGATAATCAACAAATATTGCATAAAACAGAGTCACTTTGTGCTTCTAGGTAAGGTACAATACTCATAATAAATAAGATGCAGTATATTTCTACGAGGAGATGCTTTCCTTCTAATATGGCTTGCGAATAAACTTGGTCAAATCATTATTTCCACACAATAAATTAAAATTTAGATCTGCTTATCAATTTTAACTTATGGTATCATAAGGATATACAAAGTCACAGGGCAAATCACTTCGAAGCAGCTATATTATAATTTAGTGAGCCGAGAATCAGCACAAACCAGAATCAATGACAACCCATTTTCCCGTCTCTTGCCCTTGGACACTAGGTAGCATTAACCGCCGAGCTCCTATTTCTTTCTGCTTTTGCTTAGCCTGTCCATGCAACTAAAAATATCAGTATATCACAATATTCAGAAATAAACAGCAAATGAGCAATGTCATAGGGAAAAAATAAAAAATATAACCAATAAGTTGCACTCTTCCCAACAATTAATTTCTGAAAAAAAAAAAGCATTTCTCACATTAAATTAAACGAAGAAGAACAATACTGCACTGAGCCTCAACAATGAACATGCTGAAAGCTAATTAATAGCTCATTTTAGATAAAGTAACACCAAATTGTTACATTAAAAACAAAATTAAAATTTTTTTTTTCCCTGAATTTCCCAAACAACCAAACAGATTATTATATTTTCAGGTCTCATTTATAACTAAAAAATTATAAACAAATATATAAATACAACATTAAGTAATTGAAACATAAATTGAAATAAAAACGTTATTTTGCTTTCAAGCAAACATAGTACAGTACTAGGGTTTAAACTAAAGAGTGAGGGAACAAACGAACCTGCCTTGTAAATAAGAGCTTGAGCGATGTTCTTGACGTGCCACGTAGACCTACCAGTGGCAACCACCATGAAATCCGTCCAATCACATTGTTTTCCGACCGGTATCACCTTAACGTCGTCTGCTCTCACATCAGTCAGAACCTTCTCCACATCTTGCAAATTCAATAACCCTTCGTTAGTTCTCACGAAAGTGGACATAAAAGAGAAGCTCTCATTCCATGAAGCCGACGATTTCGGCAGATTGAGAGAACGATATCGTAGAGCCGCCCACATCTGATGATCACGCCAACAACATCCGCCGCTGCAGGGTTTGTATTTCCTAATTCCTGTAGGAAATGAAAGTAATGAATGAAACTAAACTAAACTAAACTAAACGTCGTCGTATTGAAGAATACTGCCTCCGAGAAGCGTTGTTTAAACGACGTAGTTTTAACTTTGACTTTTGATACAAAAGTAAAAGTATAGTCAGCGGTTGATATTTACCTTTGGCTTTTAGGAGACAATTACACAGCTCATCTTAATAGAAGTAAAAGAGTTAATGCGGCTTATCTGCCATTGGATGTAGAACCAAAGTACGATTCGACTGCGGAGCGAACCGTTCAGACAAACGACACGTGTCACGGAAGAGACACTTGAGCTTAACATTCACTTCCCAGCTTACTCCCGTCACTTCGTCATCATTAATAGATATCACAAGCCCACGGGCCTCACGTGTAATCCCGAAAAGTAAAAGTTGAAAAGAGAGGTCCAAACTTACCCGGATCACGCTAAAGTAGTAGCTTCCTCATAAATAATTTTTTATTTTTTAAATAAATCATTTAAATTTAATTAAAAAGCATTTATCATGTTTTATTTAAATGACTAGTTCTAAGAAGATTGAGAGTGTTTTACAGTAATGAAAAGTTAATGCAAAAAATAATAATAATAATAAATAAGAGATACGAAGTCAATTTCAGAGTGAGATTGATCTTTAATTTTTATCCAAATTCCAAAATGATGACAACAACCCTAAAAACCCACAAATTAACTAGTCACAATCAAGTTTCATAGTACCGCCAAACCACCTAAAGTAAGGTTACAGATAGTGCCAAATGATAATGATTTTATATACAAATAATATTTTAATTCATTATTAGAATCTAGCCTTTTAAGTTTTCTCCACCACCCAGGCAGGCACCCACCAATTAAAACGACATCATTCTAAACATTTTTAATATACATATATATAAATATTACTTTGCTATTATATATTGTCTTTTCTCCAGAAAAATTAAAGTGCAAATTATTATAATTCACTGTTTCATAAGCCATGCCAATGCCAACGGGTAAATACATCAGTTGGATTATTCTTTTAAAAGGAAAGAATAATGATGGTCTGCCCAAATAATGTGCAAATTAAATGTTTGTCGTATTAAATAATATAGTATAAAGTTGTTAAAAATTTAATAATTACTTTATCGATTATTATTGTGGAATAAAAGCATTTATTTCTCTTATTTAATTGGGAGATCCAATATTATTCTGTCCGTATTTTTATCATACTCCCAATTAGATTTCCTTAAGAAATAAATAATTTTTTTTTTTAAAGATAAATAAAAAAATTTAAGACAGCTGAAAATGATAAAGAAAAAGAAAATAAAATAAAATAAACAAAACAAAAAGCAAAAAAGAAAAAAAGAAAATCACACACAGCAGAGAGAAGAAGCCGAGAGAGCAAAGGAAGAAACGAAAGCTTGCTACGGAGGTAAGAAGCAAATCTGAGAAACAACGAAGACGAGAACAAGAAGAAGAAGTTAATTCTGTGGAAGCAGAGGGAAATGCTGAGTTTCCATTGAAAGTTTGGAACCGATCGATCTATAGAGTTCTCGATCTGTGCGCTTGACAAAGCATTAAATGCGTTAGATCCAAGTGTTTGGTACGGCATTCATGGCGACTGTAATTGCCATTTAAGTTAAGCATTTTTTGGCGCTTCAAATTTGAGATCTTAGTCGACTTCTCAACAAGCATTCAGTGTTCTGTTGAAGATATTTTTTTTACTTCAATTTACGGTAAGTGAAGCTTAAGTTTGGGTTTTAGCACTATAAATGGCGAATTTAGTTTAAGCTTAACTGGAGGTTAAAGAAGTTGGATTTTAGTCAAATTAGGGTATCGTTTTTTAGTAACTGTAACCTCTGGAATCTTATGTGTGACAAAGTCTAGGGTTTCATGATTTAGGTGATCAATTTAGGTGTTGTATGGATAGGAAACTGAGTCTGTGCGTTTCGAATTTGAATTTGTTTAAGTTATTTTGTTAATTCCTGTAATTAGATTCTGTTGATCATTTTCAACGCTCTGGTATTGACAGTTGAGTGTTATGTGTAGGATTTGGTTGGTAAAATTGGAATTAAATTAGTTCCTTGAACTTGTGGAAGCGGTAATTTGTGTTCAAGTTGCTGTTTTCTTGGTACAGAAGGACTTAAATTGTTTCCTCTGTGCGCTATATCTGTATGTGAATGTGGGCTATTGGATTTGGCACAAGTGCTGCTTCATGTTGGATTGTAAGGAGAGGTTGGAGTTGTGATTTTGGAACTAATTTGGCTGGTGGAGATGCCTCCTTCTCCGGCATTGAAGTGTTCTCCTGGGAGGGAGCTGAGAGGGGAGAATCACAAGCGTGGGCGAAGTTTTGAGAGTGGGTTGCTTTTCAAAGAGAAAGATGACGATCTTGCTTTGTTCAACGAAATGCAGACCAAAGAAAAGGAGAGTTTTTTGCTTCAGTCTACAGAAGACTTTGAAGACACGTTTTGTAATTTTCTAAACTGACTTCTGTATTTTTAGGTTTGGGTGATATGAGTTGTGGAATTTTGTTTGTCCGTTTCCTTTGTCCTGACAGTGCTGACTCATTCTTGTTGATTTTGGATTGTTATTTACAGCTACAAAATTGAGACACTTTTCAGATTTCAAGCTTGGAATCGCAATTCCAGGCCGAGGAGAGAGTAGTGAACTGCTTAATGCAGAAGGGGAGAAGAATGATTATGATTGGTGGGTCATCTTACTTTTTCATGTCACTAATACTCTGAACTTTCATTGTTGATTCTCTAATTCTCTGACACTCAACAAACTATAAGTTGTTCTCTAGTGAATAGTGGATTCAACAAAATTTGTTGCTAAGGCAAAGTTGTCCATATTACACGTGTAATTGAGTAATATATATGGCTGATGATTAAGGCATTCCGTCTAGGAGCTAGGTATCTATGGCTTGCCAGCAATAGCCTGTTATTTCACCAATCTTAGTGAATGTTTGTCATTTCATTACTTGCACTGCAGTTTATCTCCCGCTTCATGCTACTGTCTTATAATGCTTTTCTATTTTTGGTTGTGTGGAAGGCCTAACATTTATTGATTTTGTAGGTTGTTGACGCCTCCCGACACCCCTCTTTTTCCTTCCTTGGATGATGAGCCAGCACCAGTTAATGTTGCACGGAGGGGGAGACCACGGAGTCAACCTATTTCCATATCAAGATCATCCACTGTAGGTCATCGATTTTTTCATATGGAATATTATTAATTGCTTCTACTTTCCCAAAAAGTGTAGTAAATACTTGGTATATACTAGTTTTATATGAAAAGAACTTAATATATCTTGAGTTTGAATTTTTTACATTAAATGTGCACCTGTATGCAGATGGAGAAGAGTTACAGAAGCAGTAGAGGCAGTGCAAGTCCGAATCGCTTAAGCCCATCACCTCGTTCTGGCAATAATTCGTTCCAGGCAACAAGAGGGAGGCCATCTTCAGCGCCTCATTCCAGTCCAACTCCTGCCCAGCGACCTGCTACTCCCACACGGAGACCTTCTCCTCCCCCAAGTAAACCCTCAACACCTGCTCCTAGGTCTTCTACTCCAACTCCACGGAGGGTGAGTACAGGGTCCAGAGGTACCGTTGCTTCATCTGGGGTGAGGGGAACTTCCCCGATAAGGACAAGCCGAGGGAACTCTGCTTCTCCAAAAATAAGGGCGTGGCAGTCAAATCTTCCTGGATTTTCCCTTGAAGCACCACCCAATCTCCGTACTTCCTTAGCTGATCGACCTGCTTCATACGTGAGAGGTTCATCACCGGCATCCAGAAATGGTAGGGATTCCGCTTCAAAATTTGGCAGGCAATCAATGTCTCCAACTGCTTCTAGAAGTGCCAGTTCATCCTATAGTCATGATCGGGACCGATTTAGCTCTCACAGTAAAGGTTCAGTGGCATCATCTGGTGACGATGATATTGACTCTCTACAATCTGTTCCTATGGGTATCTCAGACAGCTCTGTTTCAAGGAGAGTTGGCTCTTTTTCAAATAACAGAGCTCCAGCCTTTTCTAAGAAATCCCCTAAAATGTTGTCTGCAAGTTCTGCTCCAAAAAGATCCTTTGATTCCGCTCTTCGTCAAATGGTATTTTATTTTTTATTTCATATGGGCTATGTGTTTGACTTCTCACATATCTTTTAACAGCTTCCATGGAGCATCTTATCATATGTCTTTTACTCAATGTTTGTAATTGCACTGAACTACAAATGTTTCATGCATGTACTTGTCTACATCTTCTGGAGAACATCATAATCAATGATTTTGTGTAGGATCATCGAAAGAGCCCCCAGAATATGTTCAGACCACTCTTGTCTAGTGTCCCCAGTAGCACTTTTTATGTTGGAAAAGGCAATTCTGCTCATCGCTCATTGATATCTCGGAATTCCTCTGTCACAACCAGCAGTAATGTGAGCTCTGATCAAGGTACAGCTGTTGCACATGATAATGAAGGGAGTGATCGCCACCAGGATGATATGACTAGTGATTATGTGAAAGTACCGTATCCTGAAGTTCAAGAAGAAATCTTTGCCTTTGATAAGGTGGATGCATTAGGTGAAGAAGTTGAGCGTGAAAGACATGATAAGTCATCTAACGTTCAGCTTGGTGGCTTGGATAGGGACCCTGCTATTAAAGGTGATCCTGATGCCTTTGAGGAGTTCAGCTACCGTGGTAGTGATATGGAAACAAATCCAACTACTAACGATTTGTTTGTCAGGATTGATTCTTCTGAAGTTGGTAGTTTCGATGATATAAGACTTTGTTCAACATGCGGTCTAAGATATTGTGTCACTGAACCAGTGGAAGGAGACATTTATCTTTGTCCAGATTGCAGAAAGCAAAGTGATCTTGTGGCTGTCAGCAACCATGAGCCAACTATATTAGGTGCTAAGAATTTCTCGGAGTTGTCTAAGAATATATCTGATGAGAATAAATCGTCTGAGGAATTAAAGCCTCCATTTGCTGTACCTGAACTGTCATCACAAGTTTTTGATTTGGTTGAACCAAAGGTTTCTGAGCATGGAGAGAATGCTGAGCAAAGCCAGACTTCCTGTTCTGAGCAAAGCCAGAAATACTCACGAGAAAATTCTCTTGCAAGGTCTCCTGTGGAGGGAGGTGAACAAAAGCTTAATTACCTGCAAGAGATTGACCTACCTACCGTTGGCCATGATCTACCTGGTGAGGACAATGGAGGTCAGCAGTTGCAGCTCTCAAGAGACTATTTAGATAGGAAGGTTGACTTTTCGGAAGGTGCTGGCATTTCCTTACTGCTGAAGAGGTCAAGTAGTAGCAAGGGGCCTGTTGTTCAAGGCAGGACTTTCACTGCCTCTACCATACCTTATGAAGATCTGTCTTACACAAGGGATAGTGCAAACAGTTTTAGAAGTTCCGTAGGACATGGAAGTGCAAACAGTTTTAGAAGTTCCATAGGACATGGAAGTGCAAACAGTTTTAGAAGTTCCATAGGACATGGAAGTGCATCTGCATCATCCTCAGTCGATTTCAGCTCATCAAGACAAACAGAGTTTCGTGTACAACGGCAGTTGAGTGGCAGGAAATCTGACATGGAGAATCACAGATATGATGTAAATACAAAACCTCAAAGCATTGGGTCATCTTTATCTGGGAGTTCAAACCATACTTATCAGGCTTTTGGTCTTCCAAGAAGCACGAAAGAGGTTTCAGTGAGCGATATGAAATACGAAGATGTAGAAGGGTCACCTGTCACTTCTCAATCTGAACTGCTAACTTCAGAAAATAAAGAAGCACGTGTCGCTAATACTTCAGTTCCCGAGGAAGGTAATTTGGGACGTAATGAAAGTAGTCGAACAATGGATGCTTCTACCTCAGAATTGTCAAGCCATATGGCTAGCATTCAGTCTGAGCAAAATTCAGTAGCATCCTTTCGAAATTATGGAGAACATGTATCATATGAAAATGGAGAAGACATTCCAAATCATACGAGGAGTGTCTCTGATGTAGAAGCATCAGTTAGTACTCCAGAGTCTTCTGATGAGGAAGAACATACCATGCTGAATTCTGGCCATGATGCAGTGGATATAGCAGAAGCTTCTGCTCAAATCTCCTTGACTACAATAACAGAAATAGAAATTGAGAAAAAATTTCGAAGTTCCCATAGTTCACAGAGCGGAGTTGTCTCTCCCAGGTCAATAAGCATCATGAATGAATTTCAGGAACCTTCTGTTCATCCACCTTCAGATAATGATATATCAGCTGTTCCAGAGCCCAGCCCCTCAGATAATGCACATGGCATTTTAGGTGTGTTTGTCTTACTGTTTTTTCCTCTAATAATCTTTCTAGATTAACTCAATCTCCTCCCTTCAATATAAATTTTATGCATTTTTAATGACCCGTATCCACTTTTCATTCATTTAAAAAAAATTATGACATGGCAATATTAATCTCTTTGTTGAACTGTAGACACTGTTTAAGTATCCGATATTGGTTTAATATATTATACAATGTTGCTAATTTCCATTATCTTCTAGCTTTTTCCTTGTTTCCCGTTGGACTTTAGTAGATTTTTCCTTTTGACTTCGCTTTTTATGTATTCTTAATTTCTTACAGCAACTATGCCTCAGGCTTAATATTGCCACTAAAACTACTCATTTGCTGTAATTTACTTAGATTTTTAAAGGGGATTTTATGGTTCTCTGCCAGTCTTTCTTTACGATTATCTTCTTTCCATCCTCCATATTTTCGTGAGCAGATACTTTTCTTCTGCGAGATTGATTTGCTAAATGATTTGCCATCTTTGTTCTTGATGGAAATCTTCCTTGTCATGCTCCAATCTCCATTAATCATGTCCACTAATTTGCATTTATATCGCACATGAAAGCTGTGCAACTTATTCAGGCACCTTCATTCCTATAGTTATGCTGCTGGTTTAGTTAAATAATTTTTTGAAATGTTTCTATTCTTTTTTCTTTTTTTTTTTTTTCATAGTTTTAAACATACTTTATTTGAACAGTGAACACTGTATCATATGTGAAGATGACCCAACCACGATCTTGAACTGTAGCTGATCTAATTAAATCCACATCTCTCATCTTATATGGTTGCTGGGTTAAAAACATTCTCATTTTGTTTACAATGATTAGTTTTTACAACATGATACAGTTTATCTACACTCACAGCATATTTTATCTGATAAAACTTTGTTTTGAGATAGGTGTAGTAAGTTAGCTCGGTTTTGATAAGTTTCCCTGCATGTTTGACAGAGGATTCAACTGTTCTGGTAGAGTCTCGGGGAGGAAGTAAGGCAAGAAGCCTGACACTAGAAGAAGCAACAGATGCAATACTTTTCTGCAGCTCCATAGTCCATGATATGGCCTATGAGGCTGTAACCATAGCAATGGAGAAGGAAAGTTCAGTGCCAGTGGAAGGTTCCAGGCCAACAGTAACAATATTGGGAAAATCTAGTTCTGATAGAAAGAACCAACGAGGCAGGACTGTTGGTAAACACACTTCAAAATCCCAAAAAGCAAGGCAGAGGCGGGTAGAAACAAACACAAAACCCCCCTCAAGTGAGACTGAAAACGATGAGAATGCGGATGAATCTATGATTCGCAATGTTGGGCTTCCTAATAAGGTGGATTGTATGAAGCCTCCAAAGCTGGAATCCAAGTGCAATTGCACAATAATGTGAAAGTCTTTCATTCAAACCATGCATCACGGTGTGTGTCCCTCCAGTCTTATATATATAATATATATCTATTTATATATTTGGGGAGGGGATGCTGAAATGAAGAAATGGTTGTAATTTTATTGGTTTTGTGTTTGAAGGGCTGTTTGGATAATTGGCAATTGGTTTTTTGTTGGTTCAAAATTTATTTGTAAAAAAAACACCACTTGTTGGTGGCATAATTGTAAAGTTGTATTGTCAATGTCATTAGGCTGATGATATTAGTGAGAGGCATTGGAGGGTGGTGCTTGCTCTACTCCAGTCGCCCCATTCTTGTTAGTTATTTGTTTAACTCAGGCCTTCCCCTGCGCTGTACTGCCGGTTAAGTGTGAATTAGAATAGAACCTACTCATTAATTTTTATTGTGTGCTTGTGAATCGATATAACCCCATTTGGATAAGCGAAAGAGAACGTGTGTTAGTTATTCAATACCAGCATTAATTTTCCCCTATTCTATTCCGATTATTGGTCCGTTTCAATATTTTCTCCCATCTTATTCTTATTATTTTTAAAATAAACATTTTTTTTTTCCTATTTTGAAAATACCATTATATTTTATTCGATTATTTTTTAAATCCCCTAAATTTGTTAATTTAACTAAATACCCCCCAAAAAAAGTTTCAAAATTGATAAAAACACTCCCACTGCTTACATTTGCCAGATCTGGCTACCACCATCGGAAGGTTGTCGAAATCTGATAGAATGACATACTATCGACTAGATCTGACCGGTAGTGTGTCGATATAGTCTTTTTCGATCAGATCTAACTTGAATCTGATCGGAAAAATGTCAAATCTATGATCAAAGATTTTGCTGTTGATAGTCAGATCTACGATTTTAGCTAGTCATCAAAGATGGCTAAGATATGGTCATCGTTGACCATCAACGACAGCCATATCTTTGGCCATCGTTGACAACCAATCGTTGTCAAATCTGACCGTTAATGGCCAGATCTAGCTGTAGATCTGACCTTTTTTCGGTCAGATCCACCGTAAATCTGACTGAAAAATGACATATTATCATACAACTAGTCATATCTAGCCGATCGTGCGTTAATACAGTTATTCTGACCACCCTCTGACAATGGTGATTAACTGTCGATATTTAATGAGTGGATGAGAGTATTTTTATAATTTTTATTACAAGAATGTTTAATAAATTAACAAACCCAAAAGACGTTTTCATTCATTTTTAAATCTGAGCTTGTTATATTACTATCCAAGTCTTACTATTTCAAAAATACTAAACAAACACACCTGCGATTCTTATTCTCCCTGCCCACTTTTCCCGAGGCAAAAACCATATGCCACAGTAACTGATGTCGACTGCTCTACGGCACGATGGTCCAAACTTTAATTCCAGGTGTTCCCACTTCGTTATAGACCATAAATAATATTTAAAATGAGATTAAGGGCGTTTTCGACATTTCATTACGATTAATAGTCTAAATTATTTGGCGGGAAATTCAGAACACACGCAGGTGAATCTCAAAATTTCCCTCTCATTTCCTCCGAAACCTCTGAATGGAAACTGATTCGGACTCCGACGGCTCTCACGTCTCCGCCACCCCTCCCAGAGACTCTAATCCTCCGTCGCCGCCATCATTATTGAAACTTCCTCGGAGGACTCTTTGCAACTCTTCCAAATCCAAAGTTAGAGTCAAACCATCCTCTCGCTCAGAATCCGAAAAAACAACTAAACCTACACCCTCTCAACCGGACCCACGGCCACCCAACCCTACTCCCCTCCAAACTCTACCCTTCCAGATTCGCCGTCCATTCACTCAAAATTTCTCGACCTCGGTCACCGATTCCCTCGAAACCGTTCCAGCTGGCTTCTTCTCAAAACACGCGTCCTTCTCAAAAATCCATAAAACCTCTCTCAATTTCGAAAATGACCAATCTCTCCCTCCTCCATCTAATCCGGAAACTTCTGAAATCAAAAGTGATGTTGTCAAGGTGAAGAAACAGATTAATTTGGTCAGCGTGGATGTGCCTTTGCCGCCGGTGAAATTACGAAAATCTAGCGGAGAAGGTAACTTCGTGAGGTTGAATTTGACTCGCGGGAAACGTAAATTCGTTAACAAAGGTACAAGAACCAAAAACAGTTATGCATCATCCTGTGGTAGGAAATCTTATAGGAGAAGTAAGTCAAAATTAAATAAAAAGGAACAGAAAAATTTAAGTGGTGAAGAAGAAGATCTAGTAATTGAAGCCGCGCAACAGAATCAAAAGAAAAGAAAATTAGCAAGTGATTTAGTTGATGAGGCAGTGAAAGCAGTTAAAAATGAGGCGTCTGATGAGAATCTAGTGAGCTTGTTGAAGCTTGTGTACGGTTATGATTCATTTCGTGATGGACAGTTGGAGGCAATTAAGATGGTGCTTGAAGGAAAATCAACGATGCTGGTTTTGCCAACTGGTGCCGGGAAGTCGTTGTGTTATCAGATACCGGCGATGGTTTTACCAGGATTAACTCTGGTTGTCAGTCCGTTAGTAGCGTTAATGATTGATCAGTTGAGACAGCTGCCTCCTGTGGTTCGAGGCGGTCTTTTGAGTAGCGGTCAGGTGATTGATGCATTTTGATCTTTTGCTTTTAAACTTTTTGATTGATTATGATTGCTGATGTTTCTTGTTGTTTTAGAAACCTGAAGAGGTTACTGAGACGCTGAGGTTGCTTCAAGAAGGTGTCATAAAGGTGAGTTTGCCAACAATTTGAGTGATATTATGATGTTTTTGAATTTGTTATTTGGTTCTATTACACATTGTAAAAATATTAAATTGCAATTTGTTTAGTTTCCGAACTATTATGTGGCTTACATTTATACTTTAGTTGCCAACTTTATAATATTGTTCTTTTTCAAATGGGTTTATTGTAGAGAAGTTCTGATATGCATATCATGTGATTCACAAGTACGAAGCTAAAGATTTATTTTGGTGGTTTGTACTTCAGGTGCTTTTTGTTTCTCCAGAAAGGTTTCTAAATGCAGAATTTTTGTCAATATTTTCTGCTACTTTGTCTATATCAGTTATTGTTGTGGATGAAGCTCATTGTATATCAGAATGGTGAGTGGTTGCACTGTCTCTTTTCTGATTGGATTTTATTTTATCAAGTCCTCAAGCCATACATGAAATTTCCATATATGCTTATTTAGACAGTGAACATGTCAACAGGTCACACAATTTTCGGCCCTCGTACATGAGGCTTAGGGCGTCTTTACTTCGAGCAAGACTCAATGTTGAGTGCATTCTTGCAATGACTGCAACTGCCACAGTCACTACTTTGCATGATGTTATGTCTGCTTTAGAAATCCCAGCTAGCAATCTCATTCAAAAAGCCATATTAAGGGACAATCTACAATTATCAGTATCTTTGAGTGGAAACAACAGGCAAGTGATGCTGCTTCTTTTTTTACTCCTTACTTTTTATCTTGTATAACCTATTCAATAAATCTGTTGAATTTAACATTTAATTCCTTTAATTTACTAGAACGAAAGAGCTGCTAAGGTTAATCAATTCTTCTCCCTTCACGGAAGTTCAAAGTATTATTATATATTGCAAATTTCAGGTAAGCATTTACGTTAACATAATATAATGCTTTCTAGTCCTTGGTTCCTAATGTTTATTTAAGATTATTCTGTAGAGCCTCTTTGGTTGGTTATCCTTAAGTTAGTTTGGTTCCTATGATGTCATTCAGGTCAATGCTCATCAATTTTCATCCTGTAATCATGTGTCTCTGTCCTGTGTATCAGCTTCCAGTTTCCAGATTAATGGACTATATCCTAATTCTGCTAGGCGTGAAACAAAATGTTGTTCATAATCGTTGGTGGCCGTAGGGTGTTTTAAAGATCAATATACATGTTTAATGAGAATTAAGTTTTATGGATTGCAAAGATGAGCTTTGTTGCTTGATATTGATTGGTGACTAACACTTGAATATGAATTTTACAGTTTGAAACTGATCTTATAAGCAGATACTTATGCGATAACAATATCTCCGCAAAGGTGAGAATTTCATTTCTCTTCTCAGTTCATTTTTTAATTTCTTCATCTAACTGCATCCTTAATATTTAGTGGTAAAAACTGAAAAAGGTTATTGGCTATTGTTTTCTAGAGTTACCACAGTGGAATCCCTGCTAAGGATCGCAGCCGTGTACAGGATTTGTTTTGCTCTAACAAGATCAGAGTGGTGAGTCAACTATTATTGTACCCGTTGAATCCTGAATATCTGCATTGGTCTAATTATATGCAAATATACCTGTCTCTTCATTCAGGTCTTTTTAAACTTGTAGTTGTTGAATAATTGACTTCCATTTTTCAATTAAAGGTCGTTGCAACTGTGGCATTTGGCATGGGACTTGACAAGAGGGATGTTGGAGCGGTGAGAAAAAAAACTATACTCATGAGTAATGTGTTGCTTTTGCATTCAATCACATGAACTGGTATGCTGCCTTTGGTGATTCTATGAAGTAAACCATCAGTTTGGCATGCCAGTTGCTTTTCAATCTTGTGGTGTACAGAAGGGATATGCCAAATTTGGTTGCTTCTCTGCTCCAAATTTCTGAGGATTGCGTTCCAGAATACTGATTCTAATAGAGATACAGAAATAGGATTTTTTCCTGAAAATTAAAAAAAAAAAGAGTTTAATTCATAGATTAATATGATAATCAGTTTGGTTATTCAATGACAATATAACATTCAATGCTGATGTTGGAACATTAGAATTAAATGCTGTAATGAGATTACTTTTTTTACCCTTGTAATGCTGCTGTCATCACATGCTTTGATGTTGACTATTGTTCTGCACTTACTGGTGCACCGACGTATAGTTGACTTTATTGACAATGACATACCATGATATTTTTTGTTTTATTCCAGGTAATTCACTACAGCATGCCAGAAAGCTTGGAAGAGTATGTTCAGGTACATATTTCATTCTAAACTACAATTTCTTTGACAGGTCTGTACGTCAAAGTTTGCTGAACGAAATGAATGATAAACCTTTTGTAGGAGATAGGACGTGCTGGACGAGATGGGAGGTTGTCCTATTGTCATCTCTTTTTTGATGATATCATATACTTCAGGCTCCGTAGTCTTATGCATAGGTGGTCAACTTATGGTAGTTTTCTCAGTTGACAAATATTTTATGCTAGGGTTTTAAAGCCTAGAATTGATTTACAACATTTTGACTCTCAGCGATGGAGTAGATGAATATGCTATAAACAAATTCCTCTGTCAA